TCATCAATAACACGTTCGCGGCGGCGCGTTTCGCCAAAAACTCCCGTTTCTCGCGCGGCGCGTTCGCGGCAGGCGACACTAATGCAATCCTCCCGCTTATAGTTCAGCGCACTCGCGACGGATATAATTTTGCCAAAACTCACCAAGTCGTTTTTCTGCCACTCTTCCTGCATTTTTTCCCTTCTGCAAGCTTCAACTAATTTTCGGTAAATGAACTAGGTTTCTTGCCCTTTTTGAAGTTGGCTGGAACCGGACAAAGAATATGTTGAGATATCTTCTTAATATTAATGCTAATGGGTGTTATTTAATGTAAATGATAGTACTTCTCGAAATTACTTCTATATCGTCTATTTTACTTTTCGTATACAACTGTCAGTCTTAAGAGAAAAAAAATCATGAAAAAAAAAAGCAAGCGAAGAGGCGCGTGTTACTCCTGCGAGTGCACCATTGGCCGAAAATGAAGAGTTTTCGCGTTTTTTTCAGCAGTACACGCCTCTTCTGATGTACAGATATTACTTATCTATTGTTTGTTTACATGTACACAATGTGTGTTATTAGCGAAAAAGAAAAAACGAGCGAAGAGGCCCGCGTACTCCTGGGAATACACGTCGAAGAGAAATGTTTCTGTGTATTTTTTCAGGTGGAGTATTTTATTTTCACGCCTCTGTTAATGTGTAGATATTGTTTCCCTATCGTTTGGTTGATTATCTCTATCCAATTCGTAGATAAAAAGCAAAAGAAAGTATCAAAAACAGGCGAATAGGCGCGTGCACTCCCGGGCGTACACGTCGCCGCGAACGTTTTAAGAACTTCTAGGGTACTCAGTTAGTTCTTGTGGCCCAGCATGAAAAACATCTCTGCTATGCACACAGTAAACACAAGAAGAAGAACGCAGATATACCTCATCCCTCTCAACGGCCGAAGTGCCAAAGTAAACGACGCTTCTATCCAGCATTCTTAGAACAACCTTCGTTCTCATCATCGCCATGGTCCCAATCAGATCAAATGGAGACATCCGATATGATTTTCAGGTTTCCGCTTCAACTACTCCTGTGACACCGCCGCACAGTATAGCAGCAAACTTTGCGACGATTCCCCCTTGTTCTGAGTTACAGCATCGTTTTAGGGGACGGGAATATTATCGGGTGCTGAAAGAAAGTGCTACGCAGGGCAGAAGTTGAACATTATAGGAGGATGAGAGTAATAGTATCGGTGTTGTGTTTGATAAGGGTCGTTACAACTAAAAAGTCACCCGATTCTCGGGTCGCAGCAGCAGGTGGAGATTGGTTCCAACAGGTGAAATAGCGGATGTGATGGAAATTTTGATGATGGGTAAGAGAACGGGATAACCACTGAGAGAACATGATGAACAACATTACCACTTTTTTAAGTGGCAGAGTTTTAACAAGGTAGAAACAGTGCGAAATCTATCGGCTATTCAGTGAATTTCACGATAGAATCGAGGAATCAATCGAGAATCAGAATCAATACGTTTGATAGGAGTGCTCCAAGTATTTGCACTTCTACGCATATGGCTAACCATGTCGAGTTATGTTTATCGTTCCAGGTTATGTTTTCAACAACGATGATGTTTTAGAATAGCTAGGCCACGACCAAGGAAAATGAGGAAGCGAACCAACGGTTCAGGGTGAATACGTCCTGTCGGTGGTAAGTTCCAGGTTCCTAATGCGACGCAGACGCACACTTTGACATAGACAAAATAAGGTGAAGTCTCTCTTTTTCTCTTTTGCTGCCACCAACGGCTATGAAGTTATACCTCCTTCAGAGGTGTCAAGGCGCTGTATGTTACACTGCGCATGGTCTACTTCTACGTCAACCTCTTCTCATATCATCACTACGGTTCACTACTAAACGGGTAGCACTTTCTCTTCCTGGTAAGAGTCTCAGTAATTACACGGAGGATGAGCTGTGTTTATTCTGAGACTGATATAAGCCTCATTCAGTTTAATCTCCTACTCTACATTTTCGCACCGAAAATGCATTTGACGACCACTCAGACACTTCCGCATCTTTAACTCCGTCACAAAGTGAACAGCCATTGGCGAAGCCAGGCCGGTTCGGCGGAGTCTACCAATGACACAAGAAGGAGGAGCGCTCAGCGACTGGTCATTAATATCATAGTTACACAGTACACACCTCATGCTGACCAGCAAGTAGCTCTAGTTCGTGGAGCAGATTCGCAAATGACCTCACATAAGTGAAACTCTTAGCTGCTTCTTCATCTTCTTTCTTCCTACCAAGAGATTCTGTGCTTACGTCGTTCTGAAAACATTAATCGACTCAATCGAATATTTCACACATAAACTTACATACACATACCTTAATTTAGCGGCATATTCCTCTTCAATCATAGCCCGCTCCTTAGCGAAAGCACCTAGTCTTTCGAGGAATTCTATACCTCTGTGTGTGTGTGCAGCTACAGCGTCCGTTTGATCCTGCAATGTTCACTGCAAAGTTTCATGTCGATCGATGTGCACAACCCTTGGAGCTACAATTGGTGTGGAGGACAATTACCAAGACAACTGAAGAAAAGGTTCGATTGAAATCAAGCAAGTAGAATTTCATTGAAACCGCGCAGGTGAAATTGCATATTAAAGAGGGATGGGATTTATTGCACGTTGCAGGAAATATGGAAATTGCTGGCATCCTGGGTTCAGGTTCAAAAGCCAGTCACTTTATACTGAAATTGACAGTTCAGTGAACCATCACCCCATCCTACTATATATAATCCTATGTGTGTCAGGTGTGTGTGTGTGTGTGTGCTTGTTTGATGTGTGTGTCGAAATAGCGAGCGCAGAAAAATTAGCATACAGCGGATCGTAACTGGAGCCGGCCTTGGTGCAGTTACATTGAAGAAGATACGTTAAGGAGGAGAATCGTACAAGTTGCAGCGGACCGATGTTGAGTGATATACATGGCAGGACGGGAACACTTTTGATGGGTGACAGGAGGTGATAACACTTGATAAGATTCGATAAGGGGCCTTAGAAGGGGAGGGTGACCGAAATCGTAGCGCAAGTTGCAGCAGCTGTGGGACCGTGATTTCAAGGAGTGATATTACATCCGGACGGAACACTTTTAGTGGCGTGACAGGAGGGTGATGAAACACTTGATAAGATTCGATAGGCCTTAGAATGGGCGGGGGGGCTGACGAATTCGTAGCGTATTTGCAGCAGCTGCAGATCCGTGATTTCAAGGAGTATATAACATTCAGGAGGAACACATTGCGTGTCTGACAGGAGGTGATAACACTTGATAAGATTCGATAAGGGCCTTAAAAGGGAGGGTGACCGAATTCGTGGCAAGTTGCAGCAAGGCGGGACCATGACCATGTACTGATATGCCGTAGGGTGGGGCTGGCAGAAGCTGATAACAGTTGATAAGATCCGATAAGGGGCCTCGGAAGAGGAGGGTCATCAAATTCGTGGCGCAGGTTACAGCAACAGTGGAACTCAGACCCGTGAGGTGATATAGGGTGTGGGACGGGAACATTATTGGCGGGCGACAGAAAGTGATAACAGTTGATAAGATACGGTAAGCGGCCTCGGAAGGGGAGGGTCATCAGATTCGTAACGCAGGTTACAGCAACAGTGGGACCTCTGATCCGAGAGGCGATACAGGGTGATATGATAGTGATACGGGACGGGAGTGTTATTGGCGGGTACGGAAGTGATAGGAGCTAAAATTGACAAGGTAGCATGGGAAAATCCGCTTCACCGCTCACAACAACAATGCGATCGATATGACTCAAGTATAACGATCTCAGTGATTCCAACAGAACTCATTCCTCACTGCTTATTAGTAACGACATCGTGTACGACCGCTAAGCCAGCTCTATTCCAAATGCATGTGGTTTGTTTACAGAGATGTTATGAACAGCAGCAACTGACTTTATCACTCTTACCACAATTATCTTCCATCAGCAACTTCAGTGAGGGCCATTTAAAGGTTCCACTGCTGAATGCGGTAGTGCATTCCAAAGCAAGACGCTTTAGGAAGACAGATTGCATAAATTATAGGCTGCTTCAGTGGCTGTCCAAACAGGCTGCACTATTTCCGTGTACGTTATGAACGTACCAGTCGGATCGCTGGCACGTCTGATCTGTGTACCATCCTGCATATCTCCGCTCAGAGAATCGTTCAGCAGATACGGAAAGCAGATTTGAAACAGCATCCGAAGACGCATCAGTGAGTATACATCTTGTCTTAAATGGCCACTTCGACCAACCATCCTCTCCTTGTGAGAAAAATAAGTGAGGGTCAGCAATGGGCCGGCAGCGACGGACCGGCAGGTAAAATAAGGGAGAGACGCACGCAGTGCGCGTGGCATACACCGAATGTTTGTTTTTTGCGAAGAATCACTATTCGGTTTCGAAACACCTTAAGGGTCAGGGAAAAGTGCTGGTGAAGAAGCTTGATGATGAAAGGATTTGATATTTCATGATGTATGCCTACATCATGTGGCAACCCGTTTAAAAAGTGCTCCACATTCCAAAAGACATCCTCGCTATTTTTGTCTGGGTAGGCGGAGCCAAAATTGAAAACGTGCCCTTGGGTTCCAAAGGTTCCGAAGGGCACATTTTCAGTTGACATGCGGTGTGGACATGATGTGGTATTAATCTATTATAACCTTGGTATGTTGAAACTGCCACAATGGCAGACTGCTTCAGAACAAACCTACTCATGGTCACAACAGTTTGTTTCATGTTTCTCATTTCCAGAGCACTGTACAAACCGGAAAAAACGGTCAGCACGGGGCCAGAACTGCAACTACTAAACTAGAACTTCAGCGCGGAGCGCACACCGAAATGGGCGGGCCGAGTTCAAAAATTCGTAAATCCGTTTCAGAGCAGCACGGGTGGCTAGAGAAAGTGTGGATCAAGGTCAGCAAGTAGTTGACAGACTAAACGTGGGAGACACATACAAAACGGGGGTGGATGTACCCGAAGTGGTGGTGCTTCTCACAAATTCCGTAACTCAATCCTCGAGAGAGTTCGAAAAACGCGAAAAAATCGATGGAGAGAGGAACAACTTTAGATCGACTGGTGTCAGTTGTGTTGAGAGAGGGCCCACAAAGAGTTGTCCTAGCATGGCGCACCTATTTCAAAAAAAATCATAATTGGCTCCAGAGCATTTCAAAGACCGGAAATGGTGGATCAAGGTTTAGCAAGGTGATCAGCGCTGAGAAGAGAAGACGCACATGGCTTACTGGGGGATGTCGACTGTCGGGATGCGTGCGCCAGAAGTGACAAAGGCCCAATTCGTATTTTCTGCCCCATAACAGCCTGAAACAAAGTGACGTGTAAAACAGCAAGCGAGAGAAGGATGTGGGTGGCGGAAACACACCCGCACTGGGAGGAATGCACCCCATCTGGCTCGGCAAAACTCAGGAACCCATGAATTGGTTATAGAGCACTTCAGACAGTAATTGTTTATGAGCACATCTGTCTCACATACCCTCATCATCCCATTCCATTCAGTCACCACCGTAGAAACACATGATGCCCGTCAGATTGCCGGCACCCCTTCCTGTGGCCCAGTTTCGCCGCGCGTTCGCCTTCCATATATCTCCCATGTGCACTTGATTGACGCTGTATATCAAGAGCACATAAATGCTATTAGCATTGAAACAAGTAGGTGAATGCTAATTGGACGGGACGCTGCATTGACCCAGTATGATGAAGTTATATGCAAGCATTAACCAACACAACGAGAGAAATAAAACGCAACGAAGTCACGCCTGCCCGGCGAAGCCATCATAGAGGGGAGCGCGACTGGCATATAATAAAAGGATAAAGTTTTCGCCGTTGATCAATCCCTGTGGGATGCGGCACGCATTCTACTTCCATTCAGAATCGTAGTGGCTTATTGAATGCGATGTGGCCTATACAATGACTTGCGGTGGCCAGCCGATGTACAAGTCAGTGTTTTATCCTCCCAGACGAATCTGGTACCAATTTACCGTCCCCGGAGGGTAGAAGGCTTGGTTGGCCTGGGCGGGTGTCGACCCGGGATTCGAACCCGGATGCCGCGCGAGTGGTAAGCGCGGCATCGGGTTCGAATCCACTTGTCACTACACCACCTCCGCCTCGGCACATAATGATAAGTTAAATAATAACATAACATGATAAGTTAATTACTAACATGACAACAGTAACAAATTCAATAACAATAATGATTAAAACTGATTACATAATGCAGCATGAACTATCGATCTACACGAAGCGAACGAGCAAAATGGCTATCCGTGTGTTTTATACCTCGTTCTGAGTACTTCCAGAGATGTCGCTAACAGGGTGACTAATGTCTAAATCACTCGCATAAATTTCGAGAACAAGTCTGCCTAAGTCTGATTGAACGACAACAGTCCTGCAATTTGTGTCACGCCTAAAGGAAGCCGGTAAGAGCTCTTGCCCAGGGTCGATAAAATCGGACGCTCAGCAGGTGGGCGGGAGGGTGGGCGATGATAAATGTAGTCCGCGAAACCGGATGTCCGTTTCTTTGCTTGTGTTAGGCAGCATTCATACATCAGGGCGCAATAGGGCACATCATTGGTTGAGGAATCCCCAACAGGGGGGGGGTCGTATTTGGCCGCCAGGAGAGGGGGGGTCGTAATGAGTGCGGTAGCCAGTAACGAGCAGCGCAAAGGTGTCAGTGTGCTGAGTCATAGCGGAACTTGCTCCGTAGAGAATCCTGATAGGTAAAAAAATAATACGAAACTTCCTTCGATCAAACTAATCAGAAATTAACTGGAAATATTGATAAGTCGACATCATTTCGTAAGTAGGTATATGGCTAAATAGTACAACTCATATCCTGGTCCGCTGCGGACGATGGGGCGTGTCCGAGCGACCGCGCTTGGCGCTGAGCCAACCTGTCTTTTTTTTCTTATCGACAACACGACAGGCTACCCTAATCGTTTTATCCGTCCGTATTCAGTCGTTTTCCACTGTTGTTCTCCTTTATTAGATTCAGCAATTGGCGGAGCACAGATCTGGCGGCGTCGGACACGGACACGCCCCATCATCCGCAACGGACAACAATGTAGACAAGTGCGTAGGTCGGCCATGAAACTCCCTAAATCCTGTAAACACATTTGCTCATGTAGACAGGCAGTGCGTGGAACTAGCCACAATCCCAATTACCCCACATTATTGGGAGCCTAGACCTGGCGCATCCACAAATGAAGCTAATGGGCGCTAAAACACCTACTGCTTGCTCCTATTCCACGAAGGGATGCATTCCAGATGCATTTCTGGATATCCGAGTACGCTCGCTTGAAACGGTACACAGAAAACGGATTTTGAGCAGCTCGGAGTGCTCCCTAATAAATCCCCAACGCAATTATCTCATGAATCCCGGAAACTTCAGAAACAGTTCAAGTAGTTTTTGGAAAGAGGAAATCTTCTAGCATTCGACACTGGTTTCAGATTTGCAAACTGTTGAGTTTCAAGGAAAATATCTTCGTTCAAACCAGGACAGTTTGCATGCATCCTCAATAGATCCCCAACCTGAATTTCTCTCTGAATTTGGCGACCTTCATAAACATTTCAGTACTTTCGGAAGCTCAAACCTTCCTCTACACGACTGCGGTCTCCTCTTTCCCACAGGTCCGCTTTTGAGGAAGTTATGGCCCTTCAAAGACACCCTACTTTCCTGAAAATCGCGCTCCAATCCAACCACCTTGCAACCACCTTGCGGCGTTGGTCCTGCCCAGAATCCCTTCCAATCGATTCCTCGGCCGTTTTCCAGCTGATTTCGGCTGGTCAGCTCCATTTATCTTCTTTTTTTTCTGTTATAACTTTTTTCTGTTAGAACTGTTAATACGACTGTACAAAATGCATCGCTGTAGAAGCCCTAACACCTAAACAGGTGCTGTTGATAAGGCTGTAGCAAAGCTAGTGGTAACAGCGCTTTTATTTTCTCAGCAAGCAATGGAGGATTTTGGCCGCATTCATAGCTTGCGATGCGACAAAGAGCAGAAATGACGAAGTGACGAGAAGCATTGGATACGTATCCATTCTCTGCAAATCGTCATCTCTCCATTTCTGAATTTCGTCAATCTGCGCTGCTTCAGTTCTTCATTTCCGCATTTCGTCACTATCGCAAGCTATGAATGCGGCCTTTTCCGGGAACTGATTGTGTTTTGTGAGGGGTCATCTATTCTTTTCAACGCACTATGTCTTCGCTTCATACCTTGCGACAGCGAGGAACTGACTAATTGAAGAAGTGCAGAATGGAAGAAGTGCCGGAAAGGGTTGAGTATCCAGGTACTTTTCGTCGGTTATTCCAATTCCGCATTTCCTCAACGCTTCACTGACGCACGGTATGAACGCGGCCTTAGGCTGCGTTCATACTTTGCGCGAATTTCAGTACTAGCAAAACTGCCCGCGAAAACGCTGGCGTTCACCAGTATGTCGTTCGTTATCGTTATCGAATCGTTAATGGGGTCCGAAGTAGGCTACTTTTTACTATTTCGTTATTGTTGCTCGTCATCAAATTTCTCCCAATTCACTTTCTACTCCATCCTTCCCTAAACCTTTGCAAGCGGCGCCTCGGTTATTAGGAACTTGAGAACCATTCTTTCTGAGAATCTTATTCTTTTTTATCATCAAACCGTAAAAAAGGGGGGGGGGAGGGCTCGACCAAAATCCCCAACCAATGATGTGCCCTGGCGGCAATCGTGGGCACGCCCCAACGCTATTACTTGGACCGCTCGCACTGATAAAAAGGAAATCCGACATGTGAGATCCTTCTCTCTTAATAATGGCTACTAACTGTGAACTTAAGACTTCCTGTACTTGAGAGGGTCTGGAATATGAGGAAGGGGTTTTTTTAGGTCGGGATAAAAGCAACACCATTTCCTAGGTGAGCTTCTTTTTGTTTCTTTTGTTTTCATTGTTTCAATTTATATAAGTGTTCAAAAGTTTCCTAATGGTTAAACTGTTCCGACTGTCCAAATATTTATAGTTCACAAGTCGAGTTCAAACAACGAAGAAAAAAAAGAAACAGAAAGAAACTCACCTAGAAACCAAAACACTAATCATTTTATGCAACATCAAAGGAGAAAACCTTATAACTTCATGTATAAGCTCGAAGAATGAAAAAAGAAACAATAAGAAACTTAAAGCTCTCACGCTTTTTGCTCATTTCTATCCTGAATAAGAAGAGAACAGCTGCTCACATATATAACATCCCACCTGACAAACACGCAGATGCTCCTGGATCGTTCAAGCACTGCAGATCAACAGTGCTTGCGTTATGGAGTCATTCGACGTGGAATCCCTGTACACGAACGTAAGTAATGCAATGTGTCTGCTATGGAAGCCGTAATGGAGCTTCTAAATCAGCACCAGGGCGAGATCAACTTGCAGGGATTCTCTATCAATGACGCTGCTCAATGAGTGTCTCAACTGTAACATTTTCAGGTGGTCTGGTAGATACTTTGACAGACCAGGGGCTTAGCTATGGGTCAACGACTAGCGCCCACACTGGCCATCGCCTTCATGTCCAGGATAGAGGCGCCTGTTTTGGAACGCCACCCCATGCTATATTGCCGGTACATCGACGATTGTTTGGTGGTCTGCTCTACACAACAAGAGCTAGATGCCTGTTTTGACCTGCTCAACTCGCAGTCTGAGCACATAAGACTGACAAGGGAAGAACCGTCAGAAAACTGGCTCCCATACCTAAATATTCAGGTGAAGATTCAGGGCGGCACGCTTTCGACAAAGTGGTACAGGAAGCCCAGCAGCAAGAACATCATCGTGCACTGCCAGTCTGCCCACCCTCTCCAGATGAAACGCGCTGTAGTGAGGAACATGTTCCGAACGGCAGCACATGTCTGCTCAGGAGGTGAGGAGAGGAAGGAGTCCTTGAAACTGGCGCACGGTATTGCTGTTGCGAATGGCTATGGAACGCCTTTGACCTCCCACAGAGCCAGAATTGGTGGGGCCAACAGCAGACGCGGTGGTAGCGTGATAAACGGCAAATCCCTTTCATGCTACCATTCCGATGAGGTGAGCACTTCCGTAAGGAGTCTGAGGAGGTCAGGTTTGGAGAACATAGTAGCCATTGTAAATATACCACCCAATAACCTGAAGCGCCGCCTGGTGAGGAATCGATTGTACGACCGCCTATGTACAACCCCCGATTGTGTGGTCTGCCCGGCCGGCAAAGAGGGTGATTGTACTATGACAGGGGTGGTCTACAAAATCACCTGTCGCAGCTGTGGGGACCAGTACATCGGCGAGACGGCTCGTCCGCTTTGCGTGAGGGTGAAAGAGCATCTGGATGGTATGAGCAGGTCACGAGTGTCTACTGCCTTGGGGCCCATAGGGTCCAAATCCACAACGGGGCTGTTTTTGGAGTCGCGGTTGAGGTCTTAGCGCGAGAGGCACAAACCTCCGCGCGAAAAACCCTCGAGGCATTCTGGATCCAGGTCATCGATCCAAAAATGAACCGGAGGGAAGAATG